TGCCATTCAAGTGAAATCAGTCCTCAAATATTGTGGTGAGGAAGTTGAGACTTTAACAAGACCTTCCTGTCACTTCAAAAAATCAACACAACAGATTTTTATTGTGTCTAATGGCTGTAATATTTCAGTCCATCTTCAAAAGCTACAGAGCATCCACAAAGATATTTATTCTTTGACTGTTGATAGTTTTTCTTAAGCAGCTATAGCTAAAGTTTTGGGTCGCCTTCTGAGGAATAATGTCCATTCATAAGAATTTTGATTTAAAGTGTTCGCTCTCCTCAATGAACACAAACATAGATTCTGACTTGATAAGGATTACTAAAATACTTAATCTCATACACTTGTATAATTTCCCAAAAAAAAGGAGCACAAATTTGGTTAATGTTAAAAGTAAAGTAAATAATAAATAACGAATAATTAAAATAAAATCCACAGCCACCAATAGAAAGCCCAGCTTCGGCTTGAGTCAATTATCTCAACACAGATGCATCCAATATCCCAAGATTTAAAGTAACAATCAATGCTTTGTTGTTTTCAACAGATGGACACCAAAAGAATCCACTTTGGAGCCTTTTAACCGTCGTAACCAAATACCTATTAGCCAAAAATGTTTCCAGCATCCCACGCACTTCCCCTTAGAAACCTTTCTTGAACCCCTTCTGTAAGTCAAGCTTATTGGGAATATGCTATGAAGCGTACAAAAAATAACCGATATATCAAACCTTAGACCCAGGGAAGCACAAATCTCATTATAAGTTCAAACATACATACAAGTATATCACAACTTGACGGGGAACATTAATTTCAAAATCTTGTGCTAGTGCTTCAACTTTTGTAGATTTCCCAAATTTGTTAACCCTTAATTAATGAAATGTCGACAGCTGTTTGGCTTTCTTTTTTCAATTTGTTTCTCTTTTGACCAGTTTTCATAATTGTGTTTGTGAAACCGCAGGCACTTGCACCTGACAACAACAGCAACAACAGCAGCAGACGAGGAAAGCGGCAACAGGGACGATAAAAAGCTCGAACTAACAATCGTATTGTTAATGCAGTTGCTACAACTTCATTACGAACTCAACGCCAGAATATGAATAAAAAAAGAAGAGAGAAAGTCCCGTGACAACCCCAAAGGAGCGACACAACAACAACAACAGCAACAACCACAACCAACTAGGGTCAAACCCCAGAACGTGAGTTTGCCTTTTATTGGCGCTGGGCCAACCCCAGAGAAGGACGTGCAGGCCGCAAAAGTCCAAACCGAAGCAAAGTGGCCATAAAGCGAGGATTTTAATTTACCCTAATGCGTCTATAATTCGAGCCATTAGTGCAATCACATTAACAATTTTCTACACTACACCAACAATAATGGACTTACACACACACACACGCAAACACCCACACATGTGGGTGTACGAGCATGCTTGTGTGCGTGCATTGGCGACGACTGTCAACCCTTTGGAGCGCCATAACGTTCGCTGGTTGGTCGCACAATGAGAGAAAAGGACAGTCCGCCCAATGGAGCGGTCAGTGCCACCTGTGCCGCCCGTCCCGCCTCTCCTGCCTCTCCTGTGTGTCCACACATCCTTATGCAGCGCACGCCTTTCGTAATGGACGCATTTATACCAAAATATTATTTCATATGTTGACACTCGCACGTAATTAAGGTGAAATACCTGCAGCGGAAAAAACGGGCGTATGTGTCACTCCAATTTGCTTTGAATTGTCGTCGCATGTCCCGATCGCTGTTGTTGTTCCTGTTCCTGTTGCTGTTGCTATTGTTATTGGGGTTGTGGTTGGGGTTGGGGTTGGGGTTGGCCCACCTGCCGACCATGTCGTGCCGCACGTTTATGCTTGATTTGCTTTTGACTTGATTGTGCATATTTACACACATACTCGTACTTATGTGTCTACAAATACACTAAGTATATAGCATATCGAGGGTAGGGGGTATGGTGTATGGTGTATGCTAAGGAGTTGTTTGAGGGGCTGTCTGGCGAGTTAATTAAAAATCAATCGTACCGCATCTACACACATTAGTCGGTCTGTATGTCTGGATAAATGTAATGTTTTAGTATAATAAGTCTATAAGCAGATAAGCAGGCTATCTAATTAAAAGGTAATCTATATTTTCGGCTACTTTTCCACTAGAAACACTACAAGTTGATTAGCTGATTAATGAACGTCCAAAAACAGCACTCAGCCAAGGTATAAGATATATAAGCAGGCATAAGTAGCTATTAGAGAGCTGGTCCCACAAAATTACGCAATTATAAGTAATGTTTCAAAACATTAATGTGCGGTGCGCAAGCTCGCCACCCTTTTATTAATGAGTTTTAGAAACTTGTTTTTGTTAGAGGCACATAGTCAAAAAAAAAAAAGAATCAATGAATATTTCATTATTATGGTGATATTTAATATTGGCCGATTGATTGAAAATCTGGAATGGTTTAAACAAATTTTCTATGGCAATGCATTTAATTAATGTTTAATTGCCATCATTGAAATGAGCTCTCATGTGAACTCCAAATGAATGTGACAAAAATGATTATACGAATATTTCATGGGGCATTCGGCATTCTTTCTACTACAATACATGCTTCAATAAAATCACTTCTCCTTGTATTTACGAGTATATTTGCTGACTAGTTTATAAAAATGTCTCCTGTCTGCCCCCCTCCTGTCGCATCGCACCCCCAATTAAGAGCCACAAAGCGAAGCTAGCGCTTCATATAACGTTGCCTGACACGTGTCTTTGGTAAATATTGTTGCATACTTACAGGCGTCGCTCAATACCCAAGTGCACTCAAGAGGTCTTATTTAAGATTTGCGTTATTTTATGCGACAATTCTCACTTTTAACAAGAAGTTTCACAGAACAGGACTTGAAATTAAACGTAACACAAGTACCTTTAAATGGGTCTTATTAGAAAAGTTACATACCCAGCATTAGCAAAGATATGTAAACACATCGATAAGATTAACTCCATACACCTGAGCTTGAGACAAGCCGGGAGACAGACGGACAGAAGGTTATATAAATAGATTTGTATTTTGCTGCCACACTTTCTCTTGAAAGCTATATACATATATAGAGTGAACTGATCGATTTCATAGTGGGTATAATTTTAGACTTTGTTTATTTGAACACAAAAATGGAATCGAACATCTAACGTAAACATTGCGTATTTATTTATACCGTGTCCAACAAATTATGCGCTTCAATTGTGCGCGACACTTGAGTCCAACACGTGCCGCCACAACCGCCACGGCCATCGCCATCGCCAACGCCGTCGTCGCCGCCAACCCCGACCGATCACCCAACGCTGTCCGCCCTCCGCCACTCTCTGCACTTTCTGCCTGTCAACATGTTTTCAGAACTGAACGAATCTGCAGTCAGCGGAAAATGGATTTCTAATATTTTGTGTTAAGCATATTATAAAAAAGCGAGCGAGCGAACGAGCGAACGAGCAAACGAGCGGCCGCTTAAAATATGCTTCCAACTTTTCCCGCAGGACGTCCGGGCTTAAAAGTTGAGAAAAATGAAACTTTTATGAGCGATGCCTTTTTTCCATTTTTTAGATGAGCTCGGTGTGTGTGTGTGTGTGTGTGTGTGTGTGTGTGTGGGGGCAGATTGGCTGCACAAGTTTGTTTAATTCTTTTTTTATATATTTATTTTCGATTAACCGCTTGAATAGCTCGTCAAAGTAAACACGCGGCTTGGCAAAATGGCGCGCATAAAATGTCACAAAATGTCCGTGCATGGCCAGCAGCAGAGCTAGGCAGGACACGCGCCCACCTACACACATCCACAGTAGCACACATAAACTTGAAGGACTCACAATTTAATAGCAAATTTATGAAAAAAACATTGGGCATTAATAACTTAAAGGCGGGTGTTGGATGAAAAGCCGAGACGAACTCACAAATAAATACAAGTATGTATATACATGAAAAGCTACTGATAACAAGAATTATTGTGAGGGAAACCAAGAGAGATAGTGATTTAGCTATTTAGGTGGCACATAGGTAAGGGGAATAATGCAACAAATTAAACATTATACATTATAGAGACAGTCTGAACAATTTCAGATTATTTATCTTGCAAACTCTGAGCATTTCCTGGCGAATTCAAATTGAGATGCACAGGCTGTTTAGAAACGAACAACGATCTAATGTTAAATTGTTGAAAAATCCAGTGCAATTCGACAAATAAATACTTAGAATTCATTCAAAACGGAATCCAAAGTGGAAAATCTGAAGCAAACGGAAATGTTAAGCCATCAATGAAACCTAATTTAATGCATTATTATTTCGTTAATTCGAAATAAACTGTTGCCAATCGAGCTTTCAAATCAAATAGAACTACTATGTGTCGCAGCCAACAAATACTAAGTATATACATATGTATCATATGTATAATTAATTGTTCCCTGAAAACTGAAGTTGGCGAGCATATCCTGTGGCTGTACAATATCGCCAGACACGTGGCAATTAAAACGAATAATCAATTGCTTTGTTATGCATGATTTGGGGCAAAGAAAATGTTAAGGATCAGCATTTATTTATTTACTTTTCAAAACACGAAATTTGTGCTACACATCTGGAAAACGCTCAGAAATCTGTAACTTTGCTTAATCAATACTGACTTGATATTAAGGGCTCCTAAGAAGAAGAAGAATCTTGAGAAATATTCATAGACTTGTTTATTACATTTTATTTGGAAGCAATCTTCTAATCGTAGCCTAGAGGGCAGGCAGTCCTTTGTGGATATGCTTGTATACGCTAAAGAGTCCTTGTTGGAGCCAGCACCATTGTACTTATATAGTGGGTTATGACTTGTAAGACTTCCTTGATTTACGAAACGATGAAATAAATACCAGACCTGCTTTGAGAGTCCCAAAAAAGCGAGGGGTATATAACATTTAATTTCGTTGTGATTTTTATATTTTCAGATACACAGTTAGTTGAACAGATAATGTTCAAATATGTAAATTGGAAAACTTAATGTCAATTTCACTTTATTATTACACATTTCTTCAAATTATATAACTGAACCTATATATACATAGTGCATGCAAAGATGACTGTTCACTTCTTGCGTTTCTTAATCTCCGGCAGTCCGCTATCGAATTCGGACATTGTGAGCGCTCGTGACTTGCCCAAAGCCTTCATGAATGCGTTCGAGCGTTTGGCAGGCTGCAAAAGTCCTTTCTGATTTAGTTGGGCCGGTGCGCCCGCCTGCATATTTCGTACACCGCCGGTCACGGTGGTGGTTCGGAGACGCCTATTGTGCTTCTCCTGTTTCATTTTCTCGGGATCGCTGCGGAAATGATAAAAAATGAGAAAGTGTTAGAGTTTGTAACAGAAATGCATTTTCTAATTCTTAAGAATGCTTTAGAAAAGAAAAAAGTAAGCCCTTTTGGCAAAAAATGTGCTGGCATTGCCTAATGGCCTTTCCTATAAACCAGAAAAAGGTTGTATGGAAAAATGTGCTTATAACATTTTTGGAGGAAGAAAAGGAAAACTTTAACTCCAATCGAAACTGATTGCTCACAAATTTGTCTCAATATAAAAATCTTCTGGGATACTTGTATTTTTATTATTCTAACATCAAGAATCTAGTTTCCATTTAAATCAACAAATATTCTTAATACTTTATACTTAGATCGCATTCATTTGCAAGGCTCTGATGTCAACTAATATTATCAAACCAATGATTGTAGAAGAATCGAAAGTTTAAGAAGCACTTTTAGAGAGTATTATCTGTACTCTACTTGGATCTCCTTCGTTTTCTCAGTCAATCCACGAACTGAAATTGTTAAAAATATTGGAAGCCTTTTTTCTACTTACCGCTCTGTGTAGGTTAGGCGATTGGTGGGTGGTGCCGGCTTAGGTGCTGTATAGTTCTTGGCGAACTTGCTGGGCGCCTCCTTGAGGCCGAAACTCTTGGCAAAGTGGCCCATGTGTGCGACTTTCATGCCGAAAATGGGTTTCAGCTCCTTCGGGAAGGTGGCATAGAACTTCAGCCAAGAGACAAAGGCTGCGAATACAGAGAACATACAGAGGGAACACATAAATCGGTGTACTTGCGTGTGTGTGTGTGTGTGTGTGATTAAGTGCGTGTGCATGTTAATGCTCTCAGAATTAATTGATGTGTTGTGCGAGGACAATTGCGACGGCTGCAAATGGAGGAAGGGAGGGGGCGAAAAGGCAACAACGACAGCCTGTCAAGCATTGCGGTTTGGCTAAAGTGGCTGCCGTATATAAATATACAGATGTGTGTGTGTATGTATGTATGTATGTGTGTGGCATTCATTACAAAATAAATTTGTTAAAATGACAAATGAGGAATGTCAGCAAAGGATTTTTTGTATAAAACAAACATACACACACGCACATGCTTGTACACGGTCCTCGAAACTTTGAATGGGAATGCGGCACACAAAAGGCATTGTTGTTGTTGGTTTTGTTGCTGTTGTCTATTGTGGCTTGCAACGTGGCATGGCATGTCCTTGCTAATTACGCAGCACTTATGCCAGGCAATGCCAAATTATACAACAATGATATCAAATTACAAACGAGCGACAGACAAACCGCAATTGCGATAAGCATCGCAGTATCCGAGTATCTTAGTGGATGCGCATCGACTCGTGAGTATCTCAGTTGGAAATATGTAAATTTTCTCTGGCAGTCCAAATGTAATAAATGTGAAAAAACAGGCACTTAAACAACTGTCTCAACACACACACACACATAAATAAATTAACTCTACATGCATGTATGTTGAACAGAAGAAATGTCGAGCTCCATAGTCGTCTGCCCCAACAATTAACTTACAGCAGCCGAAACCTCAGTCTGAAGTCGGCACAGTGGGCTCAAACAACACAAAGTAAAGCCTGATCCGAAACGAACTGAGTTATTGGGGTAACAAAATAAATGGATGAACACTACTAGAATACGCGGTGGTGTTTGAAAACGGTAACGATTTAGATTTCGCATAATTTGTTCGAATTAGAAAACAAAAAGAGGACTGATACTACATACTACACCTCCTATATTTATAATATAGTATCCATATATGGCTCCATTTTATATATGAAGTAATTATGTATGTACATATGTGTGTCAACTGACGTTTAATCAAAACAACGTGTGCTCTTTTCTCCCATTTTACTTATATATTCAGAATGATCATGACTATGTCTAAATCCTCAAACATAGTCGAGTATAATTAATACCAAAATATACTAGACCTTAATACTAATTAGAAACAGTCCCTTATTTTAAATAGCGACATCAATTTCTTCTAAAAATATGCATACACGGTTTTTTTTCAAATCAAAATCATTGTTCCTACCAGAATTTTGGATTTATCTGCTTTTTAAAAATAAATAATAAAAAAATAAATGCAGTATGTGCCCTTTCTGGCATATGTTCCTTAATTTTTATGTTTCAATTTACGGATTTTAATTTTTTTAAGTTAAACGATCAGCTCCTACTTGTCTGTCGGTGCGCTGCCAACTTATTGAACCAACAATTTGAAAATTTGCGGTCTGGAATGTAGACACAGAAGGGTATTTATTTTTATTTTCTATCGATCGAAGCCAGAAAACTGATCTTTCAATTTTTTAATATCGAAATAAAACTAATTATCTGAAAAGTAGAATGAAAAGTTTAAAAATGCGAATATGAAAATCTTTCGTTTTTTAGAGATACACTTTTAAGATATCTTTAAGGATACACTTTTAAGATATCTTTAAATGTGTACAACAATTCAGAATAGTATTACCGATGCGGTTTTTAGGAAGCTTTGTAACCATAAGGACTGGGATCGTACTATGAAAAGATGTTCCCCTGATAAGTTTATTGTGAATTGCAAAATTTGGTTTAGCAACAGATAAAACTTCTAATTGTAGGTATTATGGCCATTATCCTTTCCTTTTCCGATCTGCACCACCGTGCATTGCCTCAAAGACATGCCACCGTCTTTGGTGGGGGCGGCGTTTCGCTTAATGCGCTGACAGCGACGTGAGCGTATTGCCTTCTGCACTCGTCCCGCTGCCCTTTCCCGCCCACAGTCCGCAGCCGGCTGGCCGTCGCCCGCGCAAAGCTGCTTAATTGCCGCAAATGCGATTACAGTCAAGTGGCTGGCATTAAACAAACAAAAAGTATGTGATGGCAGGATGTTTAGAGACGTCTGCAGTGAGCCAAGACGGAAGTTCAAAATAAAATAAATGTCATGCGAGCGAGCGAGCGAGCGGGCGAACGAGCACTCGGAATGGGGAGTGGTGGAATGGCGATGGTTGGGGTGGGGATGGGGGTGGGGGTTGATTCGGAAGGACGCCCGACCACAAAAGCCGCACAAAATGGCTTTTTATGCCACTTTGCAGTTCGCCATTCCCATTACCCCCGTGTATCCATTGTCTGCTGAGCGGGATAATGCGTCCGTCGAGGGCTGAGCGGCAAACAGAAGCGGATATTTTATTAAGCGCGCGTGGCCATGCGGTTTGTTGTGTAGGCGTGGCAAATTGTTGTGATTGTTTCTGCTCACGGGCTGGGGGAGCTGGCATGTGAGGGAGCACTTGGCCAGGATATTATATGGCAGGGCAGTTAATCAAGTTTAAGCGAAAAAAACGCAGCTCGACGATGTAAAAGCCAGTTAAGTTAACGTTAATATAGTCGCGTTAAAATACAAGGAGAAATGCTAACCAAAAAGGGGGCAAAGGATAAGACAAATTGAATCGGAATTCTACAGATAGAAGATTGTGGAGAGCGGTAAAGTTGAGAAACCAAGAATAGAAATCAATTTATGTTGAAACCAATTAATATTCACGCAGTTAGGTTCTAGTTGTTTGAACGATAATACATAGGACAACCGAACTTGGCATATAGACTTGTTTTATCCAAACACGGAGCAAGTTTATTTCACAGCAAATATGGCTCCTTTTTTTATGGACATAAGAAAATACATATCTCTTATGGAATAGTTAAACAGTTTTTCAGTAATTTAATTACTATTACAGTTTCTTTCTCTAATAACTTCTATGTCGCCTCATAAACTATACTTGGTATTTTAGGGGCTATATGATATTATTTTAATGTGGTTCGATGTTTCTTATGTAGACTTTGTACTTTTCCATCCTATTATTGAATAAATGAAAGAAGTAATACGTATATTATGGTGTCTTAACAAATGTTACTATTCATTCGTATCTTTAGTCTCGTATCTGCTATTAAAAATAATTAGTTAGTTAGCTGATGGACTAGATGTGTTGAGGCATTTGAGCCAGCTAATAGCACTATTACGAATCATTAGAGATCTTTTTTTCGGGACAACGAAGTGCTCTCCAGCTAGCTCCAAAGATTTGCTTATTCATTTGTGGAAAAGGTACAGAGAAACACAAATCCATGGAGAACCCAAAAAGAGCAATGATGTCCCTCCAAACACAGCTAATAAAACTATACTAATAGTTTGATTTTCATTACACGTATAGCTCCCTCATTTCCCTTAAGTGGTTCCCATATTCATAATCCCGATCCCATTACCACCACCCACCCGCCTTTTCACAACAGTTGGAAAATGCAAGTGGAGCCAAACAACACCAACAACAACAGCAACGAACTGTCGAAGAAGAAGAAAACAAAAAGTGAATTTCAACTTGAAAATTGTTTCAATTACCGACGATGCATGCAACTGTCTTTTGCCTTATCGCTCCGCTCAACTCCCTCCCTCAGCACCCCCACCCCCTCCCCCTCACCACTTTCCCAATTGCTGCTTTCACTGCCGCACTTTCTCTGGGTTTTCGCAGTGTTTTTTGCAGTGTTTGCTTTTCTTGCAAGGATATTTCCGTTGTGCTCTGTCTCTCTAACTGCTTTTATCTGCTGCTTTGTACAGTTTTGTTCAAGCGTAATACTTTTTAATGGCTTTTTGATTGGACGTAGCAGCAATGGCAGCAACAACAACACCAAAAGCTAGTACTCTGATTGCAGCCCGACAGCCCCGCTGCCCCTTCTACCCCGCAACCCTCTGTCCTCTTGCACAAGTTTTGCCAAGTGGCTTCCTGCCTTGACGCTTGACTCGGCTCTTAAGTGCAATTTGAGTTGCCATTTTGACTGGCTAGCTAATGTTGTTGTTATTGTTGTTGTTCTTGCTATAGTTGTTGTTTTTGTTGCTTTTGTAGATGATGTCTGCTGTTTTGTCATTGTTTTTCAAAGTTCACATTTTGTGGTGCGGTTGCTGTTGCTCATTCGTTTTGCTTGGTCCTTGATGTTTCGCCAGCAAGCCATTTGGGTATTTCGCACAGTTTCCGTTTCCTGTTCAAGTGCCGCCATTGCCATCGTTCTGCTCCTTGTTTTTGTTTTTTTGTTTTTCTCTCTCTCTCTCTCTTGTTATTGTTGTTGTTGTTGTTTTGGTCGCCGCCGTTCGCTGATTGCGCCCAAGGTTCGCGCTTACCCTTCATAATTTCGTCCTTACTACGCATGATTCATTTGTCGTCACGGTCATATGTCAGTTAAGCCCCCAAAGGATGAAACAATGACGATAAGCTAAGAAACGCGTCTTCAGACTTATCTCTAATCTTCTGACGAAAATTTGTGTATAATTATTCCTTCCAGCTTGTAAACTAAAATTTCTAGGAGCTAACAAAAACTCAGCAGATAATTAATAGCTGATGATGTATTAGCTGGTCTTAGCTGCTGTGTTCCTTTCTGTCCTGCTTATATCTAGGTTTGGCAAACAGTAAATATTCCTCTAGCCTAGTGTTGAGTCCAGTGGCATAAGCCCATTACCAGATATTAAAAACTATCGACGAAATGTAATAGAGCTATTAAAGATTCGATTGAACATCGCTTTAACCGATCGTTAGATGAAGAATCGCTATTTAGGTTTTGCGAATTGATTATTTGGAGAACATATTTGAAGTTCAAGGCTTGCAACACTTTCTAAATGGAATTGGCGCTGAAAATCAGTTGGTTTGTAATTTATTTCTTGGTTAGGTATATAGATCTTTGATTTGTAATTAATGTTATTAAAAGCACTTTAATCCTTCAAAGATAAAAGCAATTTGAAATTATGCTTGAAGGCGACAAAATAATCAAAACGTTGCCTTGAAGCGGATTTCGATCTTAATTATTGAATTTGCTTTAAAATTTATAATTTAAAAGATTGTTTAGTTAAAAAGTTTGAAAATATCGATATTTATAAAAATAGAATGGAATTCTGATCTAAAATATTGCATACCACTCTGAAATAGATACAATACAAGTAGAAGCAAAATCCAGGCATGACAGTAATGTCTAAAATAAGGCGTAACTCAAAGATTATGTAATATACATATATATTTGGCATAGCCTATAACTATCAAACTTAATTTTTTACTCCTAGAAAGATCAGTTAGTTTACTTCCGAATCCCAAAATAAAGCTAACTCATGATATATGGCTATGATAAGCCTCCATTGGTTGCCAATGTTGTATTTCTATTAGTTATTCAGTTTATAGCTAACCTATGTTGTTACATAATTACAAAATAGCATTTCAATTATAAAAACACAATGGTGTATTTTTCTAAAACTCAACTAAATGAGAACGCCTGCACTTCTTTGTTGCATTAAAATGAAAATTAGAAAATAAATTAAACAGTTGTGTCTTTCCCATACATATTCCAATATGTTCTCTCTTACTGTCATTTTAATAGAATACTTTCTATTTCGTAAAGCCGTATAAGCAAATCAATCAGCATGAAAGAACTTTTGGACAAATATATGATTGCCCATTTGTGATATTTGTGGGCGCTATTTCTGAAGTAGGGGGAGTGGGGTGCTCGGAAAAAGAAAAAGTCGATTAAAATCAGTTTTTTACCCTTTATGTTTCAATCAAAACTCCATAATAAGCAGCACCCCCATCCAAGCGTCCGCACCGCAAACAAACTGACCAACCACCCCCAGCCCCCAACCCTCAACCCCCAATCCAACAATTGAGCCCAACCATCGGGGCGGACGGCTTGTGGCAGCCTTGGTAACATCTAATTAACTTTTTTCTACAGTGCTACAATTACAATTTCAACAGGACATTGAAATGGGCAGGCGAGTAAAAAAATATATAAAGCGAGGCCGCTGACAACGCCATTGATGCACAGTGGCACAAATTTCTTAAAATACGCAGCGACTATCTGACATCAGATGGCATCTTCAGATCAAGATGCTAGTCTTGTTAGATAATGCCTGACATATATTGCTTTCAATCACAAAAGAAATCCAACAACGCTAGTTCTTCCCAGCTTCAATTCTTGTGACTGAACGAAAACTATATTTTCGAATTGCTACATGGATCGATAATAAATCTATATATTTCTTCAAACAAGGATGCTTAATTGAAACGGGAACAACATTGATTAGATCTAGCAACTAAATACTACTAAATAAATAACATATTTTTTGGTAAAACGATCCGCTTTTGGACATTCCAGCCATCTACTTCATTTTCATACATTTGCGGTTTTCAAAATAGGGTCGGGAAAGCATTTTTTCCATCAAACTCCGTGTAACCCCCATTTTCAAAGTGGAATACAATTCGGGCTACTGTGCGATGTCGACGACAGGCTGTGGTCATTGCATGAGCTTGTTGGTTTATTTGGGATGAGGGGCGAAGAAGAGGGCGGTTCGCAGTTCGACACGCAATCGAAATTAACTTCAAATATGAAATAATTTTTGTGTTTTTAACGCGAGCGCACAATCAAACAGCGCAGCAAACGTTGAAAGGGGGCCGGAGTGGGCGGAGGCTTCCAACTTATAATTGGAAAAATAGCGTTGCCTTTTTTTTCCATTTTTATTCACCGCCAGCGCACTGAAGAGCGGCAAAATTGTGTTGTAAAAAGCATAATTACAAAGTTAATGTCCTTTGGCGGTTGGTGAATGAAAGGATTAAATTGCTAGTTGGTACTCGTGGAGTCAACGCAGCTCGAGCTCCTCGCCCAGTCCAGTGGGCGGGCGAAAAAAAAACAACATGAGCTTAGAGCACGCAGAAAACCGGTTGCCGTGGGAATAGGTCAGACTGGTATGCAATGTGATTACCACTTAGGAATAATATACGTATGTATGTATGTATGTACATACATACTATATCACCACTTAATTAATACAAAAAGAAACCCATTATAAAGACCTCATATTGAATAAGTCATCCAATTATCTAAGCAGTACTTAAATACATTTCTGCAGCTTTTTATGATTTCGAACTCGATCAATCCTCCTTTGAATTGGAATTGGAATCTGAAAACACATTTCGCTCTCCAGAAATCAATTAACTATACTCGTATTTTTCCCCTAGAAGTATGTCTTTCATATTGCACGAAAGTTATTAAGCTGTGTTCCCATTTTGGAGCATTGTCTGAGTTTCGAAAACATTTAGAGACATTTAGAGAATAGAATGCAAATGGGCTTACCCTTGCAGCCCTTTTCGTGCAACTCCTGATCGTCCTCGACGAGCTCCTGGAACTTGTGCTGTAGATTGGAGGCGGCCTCCTGAACGTTGCGTGCCTCAGAATCGGCCGACACTAGCGTTTGCAAATACGAGTACATATCCCCTTGCTGTATCCTTATTCGCTTGTCCTCCAAATGCCGCACAAATTGCACTTCGCTGGGTGCCAGGAAGAGAACAGCACGACCATGTCGACCGGCACGCGCCGTCCGACCAACACGGTGAACAAAGTCGGCTGTCTTCTGAGGCGGTGAGTACTGGACGACCAACTTAATATCGACCACGTCAATGCCGCGTCCCACAACGTCTGTTGCAAGAAGAACGCACGCGTTGCTCTTACGAAAGCCATTGAAGACGCCCTGACGCTCCGTTTGGGTCATAGAGCCATGTAGTCTGTGGAAAAGAATGCCATCATTTGAAAAACAATGCATATTTTAAATCAGGAGAATCTAATAATGGATCCTTTTACTACAATTTTAGTAACTTCTTTCAAAGCTTATGACTTTGGAAGGAATTCTAAATAATTAATTTACATAATGGTTTTTAACAGCCTTCAAATGTTATGTTATTTTAAAACTTAAAACAAAAGTAGTAATTAATTAATTTGAAGGGAAAACTTATGAGCATTCAGCTAGAATTTACTTTCGACTGAGAATTTCCAAAAATTCGAAACGTAAACATTTGGGAATTAGAATCTTTCTGCAATTTTGTAGCTCATTCTTTTTAAATTCATGTATCCTGATTCTACGTTTGATTTTAATTAATTTTGAAAACTAATGAAAACTGCAAGTCTATTTAGACTTAAATTCAAAAATGAAAACATTTTTTACGCAGCATATTGCTCATGATATTTCACAAAAAGAGTCAACTGATAACTTACTTGTAAAAACGTAGGCCCTGTAGGAGCGGCGCATCTGACAATGGATTGTCCTCTTCGGCAGCCCGTTCATCATCCTCATCGTCCATAACACGAAGCGTTAATGCCTCATTTAGCAGATCATGGTGGAAGTTAACCATTTCCATGGTGCTCATAAAAACAATAGCTTTAAAACTCTTGGGACTGGCACGCAACTCTTTGGCCAGCAGCGCTGCAATCGTCACAAGACGCAGCTTGGGCGGCACCACCACATAGCTCAGCTGGAGATTTTCCGGTATGGTCAGCACTCCAGTTACATCTTCTTGATATTCACCGAGGCCGTCTAAAACATCTCCAACTGCGTGAGTTTCTATGGTCGACTTTTCGTAGCCAGGTGTGTCGGTTATGGCTGCCGCTGTCGCCTCATCGCTGTTGTCTATAAAGATCGGCTTGGTGAGCGTCAGACTCGCTAGTTTCTTCACCTCATTGGTGAGAGTGGCGGACAGAAGCATAAATTGTAAATTGGAAAGCGGCTGCTCGCTCTCTGCTTTCAAATCCTCGCGCTGTTTCTGAATGGCATCGACCAGCTGCTTAACATCGCGCTCGTAACCAAGCTCCATTAAGCGATCGGCCTCGTCGATCACTAGATAGCGCAGCTTGCCTAGCTTAAAAGTAGCCGTATGCAGGAGGTGATCCACCAGACGACCGGGCGTTCCCATCAATATATTAATGCCCTTGCGCAAGCGTGCCTTCTCGCTCTGACGATTCTCGCCGCCCAGCAGCACACCAGGCGTAATCCAAATGTAGGGTTTCAGAAGTTTCTGGAATAATTCGTACGTCTGTATTGCCAATTCGCGTGTAGGTACAATGACCATGGCGAATACGCCATCGGCGCGCTTGATTTTCGGCGTCACAGCCTGCAGAAGTTCTACAATGGGCAAGGCATAGGCGAGGGTCTTGCCGGAGCCTGTCTGACTACGCACAAGCACATCCATGCCTGAAAAAGAAAAAGATTTTTAAGAGCTATATTTAATTTGTAAGCTAAAGTCAATTCCTGACTCACCAGCCAACACTTTTGGTATTGTCTTCTCCTGCACCCTGGTCAGTTTTGAGATGGCCAGCAAATCCTGAAGATTTTTCACTGCATGCGGATGCAGCCCTAAGCTGGCCACCATACTATTTGAAAATATTGTCTCCTTGATCGGCTTAACTGCTCGCTGTCCCAATTGCTGCAAAGCCGCCACATCGCTTTGATCGAAAAGTCCAACCTTTTTCGTAGTTGGGCGATCGGTTCGAAAGCGGTTATTTGCCTTGGCCTCTTCTGTCTTGGACTTTGCGTTCTTGACTACATCGTCATCTACTTGCGCTTGCGTTTCTCCGCTGGCTTGAACCTCATCTGCCTCAGCTGCTCGCTTTTTCTCGCGCTCATTTTCCAACTGCGCCTTAAAGAGGTCTCCCGGTCGCGGCTGCTTGTTGGGATTTATAATAGTCCGCTTGAGTGCCTTGCCTAATTCTTCTTTGCTAAGCACACGACTGGGAGCTTGACCACGTCGCTCAGCACGTTTTTTGCTTAAGCGTTCTAGGCGCGAAATTTTCGTTTTTGGCTTGGGAACAGCAGTCGACGCCACAAATGGTGTAGTTGTTATGTTCAGAAGCAGCTCACCGTCAGTATGGACAGGCGCAGATTGTATGATATCCTTTATTGAAGACGACGGAGCCGCTTCCTTCTTCGAGGGACCAGCATCTGTATCTGGCTTTGGTTTTTCTGCAATATCATTATTGTTACTCTTGTTGGGCAAACGACGACGCACTGCAATGGCCTTCACCTTGGGCTTCTCAATGTTGAACTGAAAGTCGAATTCTGTAGAGGGACCATTTCCTTTTTTCTTGGGCAGGGGCTTAAGTGGCGTCTAATGAAGAATTAAATTTTAGAAAAATTGTGGCGCCTTTTCCTGTACTGCTTACCTGTTTGGGCTTTGTTTTTGTGGAATTTGTTACGTTATGCGTTATGTTTAGCGTTATTTGGTCAACCGCCATGCTGACAGTTGGTATTAAACACTAATGGCGCGCAATGTATTCTACTTTTTTCCAAGTAGCTTATAAATATAAAAAACGTGCGCAGTAGCTGCTTCTTCTTCACCAAGGCACTTAGAGTGTCGCGTATACACTCAGCTGTTCAAGAGCAAAGCAGTGCGGTTACCGGCAAGCAGTGCAGAAATAATGTCGAATTTGCCAGCACTGGTCATTCAACTGTAACTGCGCGAATTTGAAACATTTGAAAAATTGGTTAGACGTTTCTTCTGCTGATTAAATAGTGTTTCTTTATTTAACATTTATCATTTTACAAGTACATGACTTTTTTGTATTCGCTGGTAAATACACATGTTGTACGTACAAGTTTAAAATTCGAACGTGCGTCAGTTTTCATTAAATTTATTTTGGTTTTGGGTTGCATTTTGTTTTTCAAAAAATTGTTCCATTTGCGTTGCAGCGTCTGGTGCTAAGTTAGTAACATGACTAGTTTTTTTTTATACATTTTTTGCAATATACTAGTTATAGATGTGTGTGTATATTTTTGGGCAAAATTTTTATTAACACATTTGCTTGTTAAAGTAAAAACAGCTGCAAGCTGCGCTTTTTGCTCAACAATTATCATATATAAAAAAAAAATTATACATATATATAGTACATATATCCGGCAACTGTCTTGGACAGATGCGCCAAGTGTTTTCAACATCCTGTATGTGTGTGTGTGTGTGTGTGTGTTATGGGTGGGTTGTGTGTATGTTAGCCCCAGCTGCGCGTGCCACAAATGTCCACAGCAGCCCAATGCATGATGGTAACGGGTGGTGAGAAATGCGCCACGCCCCCACCTCCACCTCCACCTCCTCCGGCTGCCGCTGCTTCTGCACCTACCCGAGACGTTGCTAAAGCCGAGGCGGCAGCCGTCACAGACAGGACCTGCTGCTCCTTTCCCATATCCACATCCATGTTGATGATGCAGTGATGCTCCTGCTGCTGTTGCTGCTGCTGCTGCTGCATGTCGCTGTTGTTGTAATACAACAACTATGCGGTCACGTAGTACTCCCTTTGACGCTTCTGACACTTCTCCCGGGCTATATAGCAGAGAGCAATCGTTATTAGCAGCGCTATAGTCACGCCCATGCCAATGCTGACCCACATGATTTCCTCATTGATGCCAACATACGAGCGACCTGCACAAAAAAAGCACAAAAGACAAGACGAAAAAAATGTTAAAATTCTGCTCCTTTAATGCAACTTAAAGGATACAGCCTGCGCATGCAAATGGCAGTCTCTCGTGAAACAGGCGCACACATCCTTGTTTCGACGAAAATAAAGGCTGTGGCTGACAGGCGTTGTTTATATCCGACAACTGATGCAGCCAAGCTAACTAACATTTTACAAGTAGAGAAGCTAAAGTCGGGTATCCCGACTTTGAAATACTCCGTACATATGTGTAGTATAATTATGCGTATCTATGCGTGTATGTGTGTGTCTGTGTGCCTGTGCAAATCAAAAAATAAAACAAACTCGTATAGCGTACATACATAAGGCATCTTTGTTCAAAACTTGGTCTCTCGAGCTCTTATAGTCTCTGAGATCGAGGTGTTCATACGGACGGACAGACAGGGCTAGATCGACTCGTCTCATCATGCTGATCAAGAATATATATACTTTCTGGGGTCTGTCTGCCTGTTACATTTTTCACCTCCCGCAAACCTAATATACTCTTGTACATTTCATGTACAGAGTATAAAAACAACTTATAAACGTTTTCTGCAATGTAGACAATATGTGTTTCCCTAGAAGTACATTGGGACATTCTGTGTTTTTCGTAGCTTAAATATTCTTTATTGTTTTCGCTTTCAACGTAACCTTCTTTTGCATTCGCATAGCAGGTATTTACAAGAAATATAGCACAGAATGATCGGAAACCTTCTTGGGAATAACAAAATGCACATATTTGAAGAAATATAATATTGCTTCTTGATCGAGCGCCAAAACTTGACCCGCACTGGTTAACAAAAACAAAATTTGTACATATGTATGGATTTTATACAAATTTCTGCTATTGGCCCTTTAGGGCCTTAGTCGTTGTGCGCGGCGATTCTCGATTCTAGCATAATTTACTTCACTCTTCCCATATTATAGTCATTAACAGAACTAGAAGTTTTCTACGACCGCACCACCCTCACTGAACGCTTTCCAACACCTAAGAACTTGCGTTCTCGATTAAGGGGACTCCCCGAATACACTTGTGCAACATTTGATTCCGAATGTATCCGATTTCAAGCAAACTCGTTAAATTCTTTTTTTTTTTCAATAGTTAAAAATGCCAAAGTAATTGATATATTGTAGGTTTCGCTAGCTATAGAAATAATATTATTTATTTACTTTGCTTTCTATTACTTTTTATTTAAGGATCAATGCACATATTAAAATGCATTTCATTTTAAGCCCGATTAGCAGATATACACAGTCTGTGTGCAAATGTTAACTCGGCAGCCAAAGGATTAAGCCGCTTGGGCGTTTTGAGGATAAATAGTGGCCGAATGATATGGCTAGTGTACATTCATTTCCATTACAAATTTCCACACGACTGTTCAGCAGTCATTTTTTGATTACCTCTCTCTGCTACGCATTAAATAGCGAATACAAAGGCCAGTTGAATGCGTTTTTAATGTCAATTGTAATTGAGTTATTGGCAGTCAGTCATACATACAGTAGAGAGAGTGGACACTGCAGCTTTACTTTAATACTTATGTATGTATATATAAAATGTCATCGGTCGACCGCCCACAATTCACATGAATATGCAATATTTAACATCCTGCTCGGCGAAGTGCATTCAAGTGTCAACATCAATGCCGCCAGCACAGGTGTGTGCACAGAAAGAAACAATAAATATACATATTATATTGATACGAGTATGCAAATACATAGCAACAACGAAGGACCGACTTTTTGTGCAACTTACTCGTATTGTTGTAATATGTGAAAGGGCTTGATACTTCCCTTGGGCCTTGTTTTCCGACTTCAAATGCAAATGGACTTCAGACAATTAAATGGTCTACAACATTACAATTGAAAGGTCAGTCATTTTTTCAACACTTGAAGTCTTCCATGTCCTGGAATCCAAACTACCGCTTCCTACGAATTAGCTTTGCTGATGAAGTTCTTAAAAAAAAAGTAGCAAGTTCGTACAGCCTCAGTTTTTAGCTTAAACCCGAACTGCACATCCACAAAAGTGTTCAAAACAATTGCCATACTGAAAACTTTTTAAAAATGATTAATAAACGAATTTGACCATTTTATTGATTTAGACATTTAAATTTTTCAGTGTGTGCAATAAATTGCAGTAAATTGAAAATGAATGCATTCGTATTCATGCCGTCTATTTGAATAATAAATATCAAACTAGCATAGAACGCTTTAAACCAATTAGCGATAAGCATACATATAGTGCTTGTACATACATTCATACCCGAATACAAACATATGTACATATATAGTTTGTATAGAAAGTGTTGATTGTTTTCCATACTCTTACCATTATAGTAATGATTGGAATAGCCGGCCTTGCCAGCTACACGTCCCGCTGGCATGGTGTGATTTTGAGCACTTGGTTGGGGAGTTAGGAAATAGTTGAACAGTTCAGCCTCTGTATGCTGCTGATGGTTTTGTTGTTCTTGCTGTCGTTGCTATTATTATTATTGCGCTGAGTGCTGGCGTCCGAAAAAGTTTGTCCTCCGCCACAAATTATATTCGCGACAAAAAACGATGCTACAAAAAAACGGTGTTAGCCTCTATGTTTTTCACTTTGGCTGCTGTGCCAGCAAACTTTTTCTCACAATGTGTTCGCCTCAGTGCCTGCTTAATTACAATTTATTTGCTGTTGCGTTGCCTTGCGTCCTTGACGAGTTCAAATTTGTTTGGTTCCTCTCGTTTGTTGTGCGCCAAAGCGACGACGTCAACGCGCAAGGTTGGCGCATTTCATGCGGAAGGCGTTGGAACGTAACTGCAAAAATAAAGGAAAAATAAACGGGAAGTAAAAGTTAGTAAAAAGTTTAGTACATAATCTTTGCACGTCAGCCTTAATATGCAATTCCATTTTAAATTTGCATTAAAGTAAACACAAAAAGCAGTGCGCGCTTTTCATAAGCTTAAATTGCCCAACACTGTGCTTGCCCTACTTGTAGTCATAGAAAACAATGAACAACATATTAAGCTGTCGCTGTATTCATCTCCGAGTAGCTTAAAAACACAATTTTAAATTTCCAAGAAGTACTAGCATTGTGACCGGTATTTTTAGTAGTAAAGTTTTTAGAATGTGGAATATTTTTCATTAAAAGCCATTTCAAAAAACAGATAGCCGCTCTATGTCAAAACGGTTTTTATAACATTGCCCAACACTGACTCTGTGCTTCTTCAGAACAGCTGTTTTTATAATTCGTCATTTGTGTTTACATTGTTGGGCAGCCGGTACCTGGACACGACGTTAGATTGAAAGTGTCCGTTTTGTGTCTAGAGTGTTTGCTATTTTAAGTGAAAATGGAGCAGCAAGATCCTGAGAGGGTGGCTGTTTTACAAGTCGATGTTAATGCCGGCATATCTGCAACAAATACATGTGTTGAACGAACGGAAAAGAGTAGTAATGATGTTGATGAAGTATCTGTAGAAAAAACCTCCTGTTTTTATCATGAACGGGACGATTATCCCAATTTAACGGAAAGTGATTGCGGTTAGTATTCATTGCTAGACTGTGCTTTATACTTATTTGTTGGTGAATCACCATTGGTGAATCAACATTGGTAACTTTGGCTTATCAGCGACAGTGACAAAACTTTTGTTTTGGCTGAATTGTTTTTCCCAAGAACTTAACAGCACTCTGTCCGTTTATACAATTTTAAATTGCCCATTTGTATGTGTGTGTGTGTGTGTGTGTGTGTAAAGTATACATGTATTTATATCTCATATGTTTGCCAGAAAGAGAAAAACGTATAAACAAGGAATTTAAGTCCATCTGTCTTTTTAAACGGGAAATACATAAAACAAAAGAATGTAGGAATGGGAATGGGGCTATGTACATATGTATGTCTGTATATGGCTGCATTGATTGAATATTTTTGAGCACTGTAAAAGGTTCTCATAAAAGTACATCGCGCTTGCGCACAATTGTCAGTTGAACTTGTATGAAAAGAGTCTTTGAGAGAAAATACGTGCCCAGGACTTACAACGTAACAGCCATTCATACGTACACACAATAAAAAGGTATAATTTCCTGAATTCTCGGTCCTCTTGAAAGCCCCTGGCCCAGGGGACCCCCTCATATCTCTCACATCAATGTATGCTACATTCATGTATTCACATACATACATACATATGTACGATTATATGTATAATAGACTACTACATTCTCACTCTGAAAGAATTATTGTTTTGCTAGAGTTTGGGGCTATTTTCAATGCAGAGTTCAACTTTACAAACATATACCCATTGCACACTAATCGAGCAAAGTGCTGAAAATGAAAATACATATGTATGTACATACATTCCTCTCGGCCGCGTCCAACTGCCGCCCACAGAACTTTTGTTTTTGCAAACCCAAAGGCAGAAAACGGCAACCCATTTGCAGTTGCAAATACTGGGGCAGAACAATTGCAATCGGAATGACTGAGAGGAGGAGGAGGAGGAGATCGTAGGTGGATAGTTGTGTCCGCCGGTCAAGTCTGGCCCTGGATTAGGCTGCTGTTTTTCGTGTGTGGTGGCCACATGAATTATTCAAAATACTCAGGAAAGCGAATTGAAATTTTATGAGGGCGCACGTTTTCAACGAAATGGGCCAAGTGATAAGCGACTTGGTGGGGGGTCTTGGGGCAGCAGGAAACTCTCACAAAGTGACTGTGCCATTTGCCTCACTTGGACGCCAATCCGCTCCAGCACCACCACTTAAATTTAATTGCGCATTAACTATCGCCGCTGCAGCTGTGAATGCTTTGCATAAATAGTCCAAACTAATTAAATTTAGTGCTTCGCAGTTAACCCGCTAGCGAAGGAGCTTTGCCATTTGCAAAGCGGAATCAGATAAACATTTTGGCAACGGAATGGGTATGCTACTTAGAGTATTGCGAATCTACATACCTACATAATAGAAAAAACTAGAGGTTATAGTATAATTTAATGAGCTGGCGGCACAAAATTTAATACATATGCGTACATTGTTGCTTTTTGCATCGAGTTTTATAATAGAACCTCCAAATAGGATTAAATTTAAAATTTAAAAATTAAATTAAATTTGTTCGTTATATTGTTTTCCTAAAGTACAAGTAGTAGTTCCGGAATGTTTATGAGTCTGATATTCACCTTCTTGGAATTGCAATATTTTGTTGATCCTATCTTTAAGAAATTTTGATACTTTATTGCGAAATGACGAAATAAGTATTAGAAAATGTATACTAAGGGAAATGTAATAATACAGATTATTTTTGATATTTTTGAACAATCATTTAATCATCGTTAAAAGATTATAATAATAATCCTAAATAAATTAGTTATTCATATAGTTGTGGCATTCCTGCAAGTGATCTAGAATTGTTACATACATAGATACGTAGAACATCAGCTTAAATACAATAAGACAGAATTGTTCGGCCGGATGTTTATACTTTAAATAAATGAGTACAAATCCAAATTATTTGTAGGAATTGACATAACAAGGCCAAACCGTTTGTACTTATCTCTCTGCTCGAAATGAATTCTAGCACCAAAACCTTCCTTTAAATATTAGTTTGCCGAATTGGCTATTACTTTCCATTTTTTCTTAAGTTTTTTAACTAGATATTAATAAAAATAAAGTTTCCTGTTTCTTTTTACTTTTAGGTAACTGTTTTCGTTTTGTTCGTTAGGTCTATTAGCATAGCGTCTCTGACCTCTTGAGGCTGTTATTCGGTAAAGAAGAGGTGTTAGGTATAACTACCCCAAACATATCACAGATATATAATCACGTTTTCCAATCATATCTTAAGCTGGATTTTCAAATTATTGTTCAAGGCGTGCCTGACTTCTTTCAATAGGCACTTAGTGGGTTAAGTCGAGTTGGAAAATTCAAACTTGGTCCTTAAATTGAAAAACTTTGAACAACTTTTTGCACTGCACAAAACTTGCAATAATTTACTTAAATGCGTAAAATGCCGAGCGAGTCAAGACGACAATTCTATTTGTTTGAAAGTAAAGCCTATCGGACGCTTATCCCTGACATACTAACACACACAAACCGGCCGCATTGTTTTCCCAGCGCCTCCAATAAGATAACTCAGTCACTTAGTTCTATCTGCCCGGCCCCGCTCTTTCCGCAGTCCTCCCTTCCCTTATTGGCGATAAGCGGCCAAGTTTCTAGCCTAAGCTGCAGCAATTTGCCATTTTGCAATCATTTCCCTAAACGCAGCCGTCGGAAACGGCAGCAAGAGTCGCAGCATCTATTTCTAATATTCGACTCTCCTTCTTGACATGGAATCTCATCTAACGCCTGCTCTTTTAGCCCAACTGGAGGCTGAACCCGTGCGTACAAATACCCAGCTGCTAAGCTTTGAGATACGCAGTCGAGACATTGACTGGAAACGATTTGTGATTCCATTGGACACAACAGTAAGGAGTGAAGGGTATTATTTGGAGCAACAGGCGGACTTTGTGAGCAAATATCGCATACCGCTAACGTCGTCTAATCGACGTGAAATGCTCGTTTGTCACGACATGATGGGCAACTACTTGGCCGATCGGTAAGTTAGAGCCATCACACGTTTCCTCCACTAAACACTATTCCCATCTCTATCCGCACAGTCATTTCCTCAGCTCGGAAAAATGGGATGACTATCGGTTCGTTCATTGGGCAGCCGTTGATTATTTTTGCTACTTTAGTCACAATTATGTGACCATTCCACCGTGCGGCTGGATAAATGCAGCCCATCGCCATGGAGTTCCCATCGTTGGCACCTACATTGTGGAGAGAAGCAGTCTATTGGAGGAGGCACTGACCACCATTGAGAAGGTGGATCATATTGTGGCTGCTCTGATCAAACTATGCAAGCACTTTGGCTTCGAAGGCTGGCTGGTGAATGTGGAGTGCAAGGTGCGACCCGAGTATTTGCAGAAACTGATGTGAGTATTCAGAAATATGTGCATACACAGCTTCTAGCTTCACCAAACCTAGTATTTCAGTAGAAATTGAGAATGTAACATATAGTACATACATAAGTATGTAACAGGCAGAAAAAACAGTTTACACTCCATAAGGCATATCAATCATTGATCTAGAGTCTAGACATTAGATTGTCTAATAGTTATTCCTGCCTCAGTTTTGAGACATTCTGGATTCATTTGGAAAGCTATGTTAGGGATAGTATGCCTCATGATATAAGCAGTAAAAAGCCTCTGATTGTCGCCGTTAATTTTTCAGAAAAAAAAACCGGATTAGAGCCAGAAAGTGTATATTTGTCCAACTAAACGGTTTCTATAGTTGTCTATAACGAAATATGATCACGCACTTTTAATTACCTCCAGCCAATTTATAATCATTTGCTTTTGCTCAATAATTGATGATTAGCAAGAATATGGTTTTTTTAAGGGCCTGCTTTTCAAAACTTATCTAATAACCAGTTGATTATCACATATTTCCTTATCTTTCTCGCCCACGCCAGTTACTTTGTGAGACAGCTGCGTGTGGCAACGGAAGCGGAGATTCCGCATGGTCGTGTCTTCTGGTACGACAGCGTCATCAATACGGGAGAGTTGCTCTGGCAGAACGAGTTGAATGAACGCAACATTGACTTCTACCGCTGCACTAATAACACGCTCATCAATTATGGTTGGAACGATGCCAGTCTGGCGAAAACGGCTGCGACCCTTCGCGGTGAACATGCGTCCTTGCACAGCGCCTTCTTTGGACTCGATGTATTCGGACGTAATCAAGTGGGGCGCTTTCAGAGTGCGGCAACATTGAAGCGGATTGCAGACGCCGGATTCTCAATTGGCATCTTTGCACCCGGCTGGAGCTTCGAGACATTACAACAATATGGCTATAATATACGCAACGAGGATGGGGACGAGGCTGTAAACAGCGCATTCCTTTCTCGCAACGATCGTTGGTGGTGGCGCCTCTGGGAATTTCTCGCAACACATCCCTATAGGAAGCTCCCCTTCTACACGGACTTTTGTGTGGGTTCTGGGCGTGCGAGCTATCAGCATGGCCTTCAGCTACCAAATTCGAAGCCATTCCTTAATCTGTCCCGACAGTCGTTGCAACCTTCGGTTCCATTGAAAGACAATGCGACGCATTCCTTTACAGACGTTTATGGCGGCGGAAATTCCTTGCGCATTACCAATTATGAACGTGCCTTTAGACTCTTTCTTACGGAGTTCAGTTTACCACTGGGAGCTGTGCTCCTGGGTTATGCCTACAAAGCACATGATAGCACCACTTTGGATGTTGTCTTACGTTTTTCTGCGCCCAAGCAGCAGGAGAAGGACTTATATGTTTTCTGTGGAAACTATAGTCAACATATTTTAGCTGCTGGACGTTGCTACATCTCGCCTTTGAACGGAGCTAACGCACAGCGTTTCGAACATTCCGAGATACCGGCCCTTGAAAACACTATGGCGAATGGGGGATGGCGTACGCGTTACTATTTGGTGCAGTTTGATGGACCGGTAATGCTCAAGGATATAGGATTGAGATGTGGTCGTTCAACGTCCGCAGCTACTGATACCTTTTTGGGTGCCATTTATTTGCAAAGCATGAAGCTGCAGGACGCAATGTGGCCTCAGATTGTGGATGAGAAGGCCAATATCGAAGTATATAGGCAGCAAATGTGGAGTTAACGGACAAAGACACTTTTAAAGGAGAGGCAACAACTACATAACTGCATAAGAAAGCCGACATTCAAGCTCTATTGTAAACTGTATTATAAGAATTTATAGTGACAACTTTTTAATAAATCGATTTAAATTTAGTTTTACTTTTTCGATAAAATATTCTCAATTGCCTTTTTTAATAGCCGTTGATCTCCGGGAGCTTTCCTTTAAGCTATCGGTTTCAAATAACAATATATACCAATTAGGATCAATTAGGAGAGAATTCTGAAAGTGTTTCTCCAGCTTTTTTAGAACTGTTCAACTGTTATATAAATAGCATCTTGCATATTCAAATAAATGCTCCACGTTTTACAGCACTGCAGCTTGCCCAATACTGATATGTGCAACGCTTTTGTGCACCTGCCAGCTGATCTAGTACCGTTTCCGTTTATTTTCGCATAGATTCAGGTTAAGTTGAACGTCATAGTTGGGAGTGTTTGTTTCCGAATTAAGTGCTTGCTAGTGAAGTCGAACAAATTAGAGCAATAGCATTCAAGAATAATGACCTCTGCTAAAAGACCATATCCCTCACAAGATAGGGATAGCAGTGTTGATGAGGCCACTGCCCCAGCCTTCAAAATGGCCCTGCGATCCGTATCCGAACGCAAAAAATGCAATGATTTTGACACAAGTAAGTACTTTTTGGCTTTATATGACAATTAAGTTTGTTTTTGCTTAACATTAAACAAACTGCATTTGCCCGTTTGTAATCTGCTTGTCTTTTCTATGAATATAACAGTACACGCACGTTTTTATAAAATAAGCTTGCGTCTGCAGGTCTGCAATTCGTTGCTATCTCTATTTTTTTCCATATTTCTCTAATGCCAGAGCGAGAACACAGTATGTGCAGATCCATCTGTACTGTTCGATTTCGCGCGTCTTGTGGATGCGCCGCCGACTTTTTTACACATTACTCGTATATTTTTATGCATGTACGTAATTATATAGAAGTACTTATAGACATGTATGTATGCATCTGTGTTCATATTTATATGACTGATTTTAATGGTAAACAGGTGTTATAATAATTATAGACATGCATAAGCACTAGTAGGAATGGCTGGTACAGATACATATGTACATAGATGGATACTAAGCATCTAGGTATGTACATACATATGTATGTATGCATGTAAATATGTGTAAAGCAAAATTCGGAAAGTAGTATGTATGTATTTGTAAATTTGCAAGGAACAAATATGTATGTATGTATGTATGTTATCGAGCTAAAATGTTAAAGGTTTGTTTTAAGCCACGCGTTTCCAGGCCTTTACAAACAGAACAGGCTTTTCAGACTTTTTCCCACTTTTTTCAGAGAGTATGTATGTGTGAGCAGTACTTACTTACATATGTATGTATGTACATGTGTACGTATACAATGTACATACATACATACATATGTACATATGTATAACCTTTATAGCTCTTCACATTGATGCTGGAAAGCTGGTTGAATTAGGACCAGTAATAAATTCCTACATTTACACACACACTATGCGCTAATCGAGCGAAATGCTGAAAATGGAATTGAGTACTTCTCGGGGCAGCAGGTGGACGAGACCGGGCCCACCAAACAATTGTTTCTACAGTGGCGGCAAAATCTAACGGCGCCCCATTTTTAGTTGCACATGCTGCTGCAAAACAATTGCAATCGAAATGACTCCGTGGAGGAAGGGGTCGTTTCCGTGTGGTCGAGTCTGCTGGTTTTCGTGTCTGGTGGCCACATGAATTATTCAAAACACTCAAAAAAGCGAATTGCAATTTTGTGAGGGTCGGGTCTCTCGTGCTCAATGAAGTACGGCAAGTGGTAGGAGACGAGAGGGACTGTCAGCACTCGGCCATTTGATCCTACAACTCGCCTAAGAGGAAATGGTCCCAACTGATTCAAATGAAGTGCTTAGTCCACTCCGAGTCACATACTCTCTTTTATGTAGTATTAATATAATTGTGTGAATAATTAAGTAGCTATTTGGAAGACATTTCTTTTTTGGATATACATAACAAAACAATTCCAAAGTATTTTAAAACTAGATTATTATTATTTATTGTCATTGTAGTGGAAGTCTTCATCTTAAAGAGGGGCATTTAAATAGAACTCACATTTCTTTTTTGGATATAACAAAACAATTCCAAATTATTTAAAAACTAGATAATTTTTTTTGTCATTGTAGTGAAAGTCTTCAACTTAAAGAGGGGCATCTAAATAGAACTTACTGGATGTTTATCTTAATGTTACTCTGTTGTTGCAGCTGAGAATATTTTATTTCAGGATTAGTGCCTGCACCCTTTTGTATTCTGTTGCTTTAAAGTCATCATTTCATTATAGTCAGCTTAATTATACGTTGCTCTTTCCAATTTTAAAGATAATCTTACGCCTCTACCTGCTATCTATCTGGAGACTGATCCCGTATGTGGCAACCACCAACTGTTAAGTTTCGAGGCACGCAGTCGCAACTTCAACAAGGAGCAACACGTGATAGCTTTGGATTATGATGTACGTGGAAAGGGCGTGTTTTTGGGAAAACATTCGGATTTGTTGACGAAATATAAATTCCCGGTAACTTCCGACAATCGACGCGAGGTGCTCGTGTGTCACGACATGGTCAATCAGAACGATTGGTAAGTCGATTAGTTTTTTTTGTTAAGTTCAAAATAAATAAAAAATTAAGCCAAATGGCTTTGTTCATTCCGAAGAAGGTAGCGTTTTACATATTGCTTTTAAAATTCTCCTATTTTTTATGCTTCGTTGTTTAATGTAATGTAAAAGAAATAGGTCTTCGGGCTTTAAATCAGCATTTAATTAAAATATGAATGCATTTTTAATTAAATGAAATTTGTACTATACTCGTATTTCCATCTCTTGCAGCTCCAAGAAATATAGCGACGATTATCGCTTCGTTCATTGGGCAGTCATTGATTACTTTTGTTATTTTGGACCCAACTATGTGAACGTTCCACCGCCTGGCTGGATAAATGCGGCCCATCGTCATGGAGTCCCCATCTTCGGAACTTTTATTGCGCGCCACAGCGAACTCATGGAGGAGGCGCTGAGTAAGGTGGATGTCATTGTGGACGCTTTGGTTAATTTATGCAAGAACTTTGGCTTCGAAGGATGGCTTATTAATGTGGGGTGTATAGTACAACCCAAGAGGGTGGAGAAGCTGCTGTGAGTATATTTGTGGCACACTGTTTTTTAATGGATAGCAAAGAAAGTTGAGTTAACTAGTGTATATATGTAGATGGATGGATGGATAGTTGTATTTCTTGTTAGACTTGAGCTAAGAACTGTCCACATATATATGCAAAGATCTTCGTGATATCTAAATTCCTATTTCATATGCATAATTAGTGATAGCAGTATCTGTTCTGACACGTAACATGATTTCCACCACAAAGAACTTGCTTTTTTTTAAATTTAATTCGATACTCTACAAAACAAATCTATATAATAATTAGTCCGAAATGCTTTTATCTTTTGATTAGGTTAATGCTACTCTACAAAAATCGACTGTCGATAATTCGAAACTATCTTTAATGTTTATATCTTTAATGCTTGCTAGCTGCTTTCTGCGTCAGCTGCGCGTGGCCATCAAAAGGGAGATTCCACATGGCCGCATCTTCTGGTACGACAGTGTCACCAACAATGGCGAATTCTCGTTGCAGAATGAGCTGAACAAGCGAAACATTACCTTCCACCGCTGCACGGGCAGCACGCTCATCCATTATGACTGGAATGATGCCAGTCTGGAGACCACCGCTGCAACACTGCAACGTGAGCGTACGACCATGGTTAGCGCCTTCTTCAGCTTTGATATTAATGGCCAGCTTCCGATGGGACGCATTCGGAATCCCGCCGAGCTAATGGAGCTCATCGAAGACGGCTGTTTTTCGACGGCCATCGTCGCGCCCAATTGGAGCTTTCAGCTTTCACAAGGTGGAGACAATGGCAATGGAAGTGGTTGTGAGTCCGCCGCATTCCTTAAACACAACGATCACTGCTGGTGGCGCCTGTGGGAATATCTGGGTACACGTCCATATTGCAAGATGCCCTTCTACACGAACTTTTGTGTGGGCTCCGGACGCGTATCTTACCAGCATGGTTTCAAGTTACTAAATTCGAGAGGATCCTCCAATTTGAACGTGCAATCGCTGCAGCCATCGGTTCCGTTAAGTGGAAATGCGGAGTATTGTTTTAAAGAGGTCTTTGCCGGCGGAAATTCCTTGCGTATCACGAACTACGATCATGCTTTTAGGCTCTTCCTTACGGAATTTTGCTTACCACAGGGCGTGATGGTACTGGGTTATGCCTATAAAGCTCCAGATGGCGCCACTTTGGATGTCATCATGCGTTTCTGTGCGTCCAGGGGGCATGATAGGGACTTATATCTTTTCTGTGGCAACTATACTCAACACACCATAGCCGGTGGACGTTGCAACATCGCGCCTTTGAGTGTGGCACGTGCCAGGAAATTTGAACATTCTGAGATACCGGGAGTTGAGAGCGCTGTGGCGAACGGATGGCGTACACGTTACTTTCTGGTGCAGTTTGATGGATCGATGATTCTCAAGGAAATAGGAGTGAAGTGCTGTCGTACGATGCCAGACAAGGCTGATACAATTTTGGGGGCCATTTATTTGCAAAGCTTCGACTTGCTTGTCACAAAGGGTGTGGAGGGGAAGGCCAATGTCAAGGCATATAAGGATCAATTGTGGACTCACACAGATGCATGATATATGGATTGTAGGACTATAAACCTAGGAACCACGCAACGTTTACGAAAATTTCAGCTCGTCAAGTCCAGATTGTTTTTATTAGCTTTTATTTATAATAACAGTATCGTATAGAATACAAAACTATGTCAGACTGCAGATAAGTTACTTTTACAAAAGCAATTGCCAATAAAAAATGAAAAACTTTAAATAATGCTATTATCTATAAATTGTGTACCTATCAGGTTTTTCTTTTTCCACGAAATATTAGGCACTCGTGCAATTTTTGTTGTCTTATGTCATTCCCGAAGCTCCCGACAACGATGTAACAGGAAAATACATCCAACATATTTTAAAGTCAAGAACATAATTCTACACAGTTCAGTACTAAGAGAGTTTTCTATAACAATAAAATTGTATAATGTGTAAAGACCGGCTTTACTTTTATAAAGATGTTTGGAAATGGTTTTGTCTCTGATCATATGAATCCATTTTCAAATCTAGGACTTAGACAATTCTTCCGGGAATGCAATGAAATAAAGTTTTGTGTTTTGACAAAATTATCGCTCTTTAATTACAATATTTGCCAAATTTGTTTAATTTGAAATTTGTCAAATATGCAATGAAAAGCAATGAAAAAGAGGTGGACTCTATAACAAGAGTGGGTACAAAAAGAAAGCCCATGAACTCTGAAACGAAGTATTATTTTGAAACCCATAATTCTTCACAATTCTTTTGATTATTAATTGGCACGAACTGCAGTGCTATTACGTATATATAATATTTCTTCCCATGCGACTAGGGACACCATTTGATATGTCAGACATATGAATTATGCATATCCTTAGAATAGTATGGTATTTCATATAGTTTTAGCGGACCGTTATTTATTTTCAAATTTCAACTGAATCACCATTCACAATTGAACAGCTGCCTTCGTTTTACAGCACTGTAAACTTAAAAATTGTGACAGCCGAACACTCGCCGATCAAGTGACATTTTGCAGAAGCATTTGATCTTGCCGCTCAGTTGAAAGTAGTTGCTTAGAGTGGTTGTTCGCGTTTAAAGTGTTTGGGAATTAAAGTTAAATCGTGCAGAGCAAAAATACAGTATAAAATGGAGCAGTGGAGCAATGCTAAGAAGTACTCGGTTGAGGAATTAAGGATTGATGAGTGGGCGATTCCTATAACCGATTACTCAAATTTTGGGCGTCGCAAGACCAGTAAGAATCATTTTTTGTTTCCTACTAGCTTTAGTTAATAACTAATTAATCATAAAGCGATTTCGCATTTGTTGTGTTTGTCGTGAACATCGACGGCACAATATTTTGTGTCCCAGCGCCATTTTCTGCGAAATTCTTGTACAGAATAGACTTGCACGTGTTGGTTTCTACATCTGACCCATGCCAGAGCGAGAAAACAGTATGTGCAGATCTATTTCTCCTCTTCACTACCACAGTACTTTCTATAGCTGTGCATTTTTTCCACTTACTGTGCATGCGCTGACGACTTTAATGAACAAAAGTATTATATGGCGTTTTTATTTCTTTGGCATTTATTTTTAAGTGTTTCCATAAGAGTTGCAGACTATACATACAGCTTTCGTGTTTCCTTCATGAATCAAAATATCCACAAACGCCCGAACAACATTTTGGCAGCAACGCTCTACACATATGCATGTACATACATGTGTGTTTAAAACAGTTTCGTCTGACTGATTGGTGATCAAAGCACTGCCCAAATGGTAAGATTTAGAAATCTAAAATTTGGATTCTAGCACTAAGAAGCGATTTTGAAAAAATAAATAAATAAATTTAATTTGTAAACTCTCAAAAAGATTAGAAAAACATATCTGCTCACTTGTTTTTGAAAATTAGTAGCTCGCAAAAGGCCTTTTATCAGTTAGAAGAACCAAATGAGCCGACGATATTGTTTCTTGGTTCCAATTTTGCATTAAATTAACAAATATGTCAAATTTGTTGTTCATCGTTGAAGATTATTTCTGGTCTGATAAACGCTTAAATCTTATGACCCCATAATTTGTATGTATGTTAGGTATTTACATCTCGAGTCTTTGCAGCAGATAATTTACTGTTTTTCCCCCCAATCTTTTCACTATAAGCACGCTTTGAAGTATCTGTAGCTAAATGTTCCGTCTCTTTCTTCCACATAATAGCCGATCCAGGGACCGAAGACTTTGTGGAGCTTGAACCGATACATTCCAACTTCCTACTGCTCTCTTTTGAGGAAAGCGTTCGTCATATTAGCTGGAAACAGGTTATACCATTGGACACTAAAGTGCGCGGCGAGGGGGTTTTTCTGAACAAGCAAGCATGCCAATTGTCGAAATTACAAGATCCGACCAATGCGCTCAATCGACGCGAAGTACTTGTTTGCCTAAATGTGATGACTTTTGACGCATAGTAAGTCAACATTTGTCCAATTTAGGATCAGTTTTAAAATGTTGAACAATTTCATTATTTTATTAATTTCAAAATTAAATGAAATATTTTTTTATTATGTAATTTTTAATACTTAAAATATTGAACAATTTTATTAACTTCAGAATTAAATGAAATATTTGTTTATTATCTTTGATCATCTTTGATTGATTTGATAGATTTAAAAAAAAAAAACATTCATTTAAGTGCTTTTTTGTTTGTTTATTTCGTGCAGCACCAAAGACTATCGCTTCCTTCATTGGCCAGTCGTTGACTACTTTTGCTTTTATGGCAATAACTATGTCAATATTCCACCGAGTGGCTGGATTTGGGCGGCTCATCGTCATGGAGTTCCCATCTTTGGCACTTATGTTGCGCGCTGCCCTATACTTTTGGAGGAGGCGCTCAGCCAGATGGATCTCATTGTGAAGGCTTTGGTTAACTTATGCCAGCTGTTGTGCTTTGAAGGCTGGATGATTTCCATTGAGTGCGAAGTATCCCCCGAAAAAATGGCGCCACTGTTGTGAGTAATAAATTATTATTGCCAGAGAGGCGATTGACCTTTTCGTCAGACATGTTTCGGCCATTAGGAGCCGTGAGAAATTCTTTAAATAATATTTATGCTTTTATCTCGTGCGCAAAAATACATAACAGACTTGACGAGTACATCATATAGCTAGCTGTTAGGTCTTTAACGAAATCAAATATGTAAGAATCTTTTGTATGAACAAATTGTTAAACCCGTATTATAAGTTTCCGCAAAGTAGTGGAATTCGTCTAATTTGTAAATATCCGTTTTGGAGAATAAGTAATCGCTTTACGAACGAAGATACGTAATCTTCTTGAAAGTGGACTCACTTTTTGTGACTCGAATATAGTTTATTCCCATTACAGCTGAACTTTTTCCCAGAACAATGTGCTCATGTATGGCCTATACTCGTTAAAAAACGGATATAGAGCCACGTTTTGTTAGAAAAGGTATACTACGAAGTCTGTATGTAACAGGCAGTAGGACGCGTGGCAGACCCCCTGTTAAAGGTATGGATATGATCGAAATAGACATGTCCGTCTGTATGAACATCGTGAACTTTTGAAGCATATTTGAATTCTAAATTCTTTAACATTTTTAAAGGACGTTTTCTTCATTCACATCTTTCATCTCCGCCAGGTCTTTTGTTTCTAAGTTGCGTGCGGCCATCGAAATGGAAATCCCGGCCGGTCGAGTTTTCTGGTGCGATAGCGTCACCAGCACTGGCGAGTATTTAAAGCAGTGTGAGTTAAATGAGGAGAACATTCAGTTTTATCGCTGCACACAAAACATAGTTCTTCAATCTGACTGGAACGAGGCTAAGCTGGAAAGGACCGCAGCAACACTTCGTAAGGAGAAGGGGGACCTGCTTAGTGCCTTCTTCAGATTCGATCTTAACGGTCGGGATAGGTTGGGACGCTTTCAGAACAGCATTAAGTTGGCGGAGCAGCTCACAAATGGCGGCTTCTCGATGGCTATCTTTATTCCCGGCTTGCGTTTTCGTACATTTCGTAAGGGGATCGCTGCCTTACGGGATAGTATTGGCGGTAATACTGTTAACATCGATTTCCTTGATTCCAACGATCGCTGGTGGGGTCGCGTCTCGGAGTTCCTGGCCATACATCCCTATCGCAAGTTGCCCATATATGTGGACTTCTGCGTCGGTATGGGAAATGACTTTTTCTTTCATGGCCTCAAAAGGCGTGTATCCAAGGCATTTGTCAACATAGCGCGCCAATCGTTGCAGCCATCGGTGTCTATCCAGGGCAATGCGGTGCACTGCTTCAGAGAAGTGTTCGCCGGCAGCAATTCCTTGTGCCTTACCAACTATGAGCGTCCCTTCCGCATCTTTCTCGCAGACATCGATTTGACTCAATCAGGCTCCCTGCTCGTGGCTTATGCCTTCAAAGTCGAGGATGGCGCCACTCTTGACGTCATCTTGCGCTTCTGCCATCCCAAGCAGACGGAGAAGGATATCTATATCTTCTGCGGTGACCACAATAGCCACGTTGTCTGTACTGGGCGAGGCTACGTCTCTTCATTGTCTCCGGATGCAGCCAAGCAATTCGAAATTAATGAAATCCCGGCCGTTGGCGACTCCATTAACTTTGGATGGTATACACAATACTATCTGATGCACTTCGATGGCGACGTGAAGCTCAAGGACATCGGCTTGAAGAGCGAACGGGCCCCCATAACCGAGGCGAAAACTTTCTTGGGCAACATTCATTTAAAACACATTGGGCCGCATGTGCCTTTGCGGACTGCTGCTCTCCAGGAGAGGGCTCATATCAACGTTCATAGCGGAAATTTCTGGAATGATTCGTCACGGTCAAATGGTCCCCAAATCCAATTTAACTAAAACGTTTCATTTACTAACAACACACAAACGAGACCAATTTTTTTGAATGCTTAGAGATGTAGACAACGTAAATAGTTGTGAAACAGAACTTATTTTAAAAGCAAATACTGCAATTATTTGAAAACTTTAAACAAAACTAGAAGGCTTTGATACAATCTATTGAATTTCTAGAAATAGAAATGGAAGCTACTTTTATGAAACAACTTATTTACTTTTTCAGAAACGAACAAATTGGATTAATACCTGTTTTTTTTTTTACTCATGGAAGAGAGCTTTACATTTTTCATTCAATTTTAATATTTTTTTAAAACTCATGCGTTTTTGAAGCCCAACTTCATTGATCAATTTTAAATGCATTACCTACCCTAAACAAAACCGAACAAAACAATACTTCCAAACACAGTATTGAACTACAGAAATTTCAAGCTTAACACATACAATTTCTATGACTATTTTAAAATACATAGCATTTGGAAAAGCAGAAAACAATCAATTGCATATTTTGATCATGAAATAGATCATCCATAAACAAAATACTATATGCGTGAGCTTTCATATAATTCTAGAATATCAAATCACACATAAATGGAAGCGTAATTTTTTTTTTAATATTAATGCATGAACTCTATGTATAAAACTGTAATTTTTCTGATAAATATTGTAAAGACAACAACAAGCAACAAATAAAGCTTTGGTCTCACTCAATGCAGTGGTTGTTCTCTTTTGAAAGAGCCATTGGTTCTGGAATTTAAAATTTGGTTGAGTCACTGCGTTTGTTACCCGTTGGAATATTACGTTTTCCATACAAATGTACTTTTTATTAACAGCTAAAATATTTGTAATTTGAAATCCTTCTATCTTTTTGGTGTCAAACTGAAATGATGTGGCAAATCAAAGGCTTGTTGAACACATATCGCAATTAATTAATACACTGGTACTATAAACATGTAGTGTAGCGAGTAAAACAAATCTGCTTTCCACATTCATTTAATACTAACTTCTTGTGAGAGATGAAGAATTTGTTTTGCAATTTACTTAAATAGTTCTCTTTAACATTGAATTAACCAATTGGTCTTTTTTCATTCTCCTTAGTCTGCAAACTACAATTCAAGTATAAATTTGAATTTGAATTCACTTCAAGAATGTCAATTTCCTGACAAACGGACATTAAATTCCTTACTCACAAGGCGTTATTGAGGACGACAGCAGCTTATGCCAACTGTCTTTTCTTTTTTTTAAAGGTGGAAGGGGTGTCCGATTCGGGCAAAGTTTGCTTGGTCCTCTGCAGACTGCAAGAGGTTATCAGAAAAGATATTTTCGTCACTAGAACGCAATTGTTGTTGCTATGATGGCTTGGTCTGATTGTTTAATAAACAAAAAAAACAAAAAAAAAACCGACTTAAAAAAAACGATTCCAAATCAAATTTATATGCACTAAAAAATAAACAAGTAGAGAAGCTAAAGTCGGGTATCCCGACTTTGAAATATTCTGTACATATGTGTAGAATAATTATGCGTGTATGTGTGTATTTGTGTGTGTGTCTGTGTATGTCTCGTGTGCCTGAGCAAAGCAGTAACAACAACAACAGCTGCAGGCACTAGTTGGTCTTATGTACATACATATATGGCTATAGCTTCCTATTAAATCGTCCTATCATGATGAAACTTGGCATTTGGACTTATAATAACTAAATGGAGGTATTTGCCAAGTTTGAGTTCAAAATGCGTATTCACATAAGGCATCTGGGACTAAAATTTTGTGTGGGGGGGAAATCAAAAAAATAAAACAAACTTGCACAGCGTACACACATAAGGCATCTTTGTGTGTCTCTAGCTCTTATAGTCTCTGAGATCCAGGTGTTCATACGGACAGACTGACAGACGGACTGACAGACAGACAGGGCTAGATCGCCACGCCTCCTTCTGCCTGTTACATTTTCAGCTCCCGCAAACCTAATACACTCTTGTACATTTTATGTACAGAGTATAAAAAGAGGAGTGCACAAATGTGGGTACAATTATTGATATTTTTTGAGTCGATGTCATGAATATTGCAGAAGTAGGCATCAGAATTGTTTTGGAATTATAGTTGCTTAGTTGTGAGCCAAATTAAAGTGCTCAGAGTTCCAAATCTGAATATCAAGAACTGGAAATTAAATTCAACTTCTAGGGGTCAAGTTAGAGGCAGGTGTTGACCTTCAGTTGTCTTCTCTTCTTACATCTGCATGGATGGATGAGTAAGGCTGCAACCACCCAGTTGAGCAGCCTTCATTGCACTGAGCCGTTTTTTTGTTTTGGGTGTTTGATTACGCTGAAGAGTAATGCTTCCGCTTCACAAACCTACCTACAAGCCCGCCCACCACATCTACTCTGTGTGTAGACATACATATGTGCCGAAATGGTTTCATTTCTTTCAATGCCAACGATGCGCCCAATGCCTCAAAAACGTCAGCAGTTTAGCCATTATTCAACATCAGCAGCAGTTGCTGCCCCAAACCATTCATTTTTCGTTTCAACTGAATCTACGGCTCCTCTTTCTGCAACCGCTTCATCTTCTTGTTTTTAGTTGGTGTATGAGTGTGACTGAGGCGGGTCTCAGGTGTAGGGTGTGGGGCTCCATCGTTTATTCAGACATTTTCATGCGCATCACAAATATTTCAAGCATTTTGCGTTTCGTTTGTCAAAGGCATGCACCGAACCCGTCTACGCCCTATGCCCCCCAATGAAAAGTGGCGGCGGAAGTGCTGATGTCTACCCTGAACTGAACTGCACTCAGTGCTTCGAAAACTGTATAAATGTGCCGCCTTTATCACAACGAATAACAGTTTATGTAAGTGGCGAGTAAAACGATAATATTTCTCACAATTCTTTATAATATTCAATGGTTAAAATAATAATTATACGTGATATTACCTGGTTTAGTGTCACAATTTTAGAGGTTAATTTTCCGTGTTTTTATACCCTGTACCCAAAGGGTACAAGGGTATATTAGTTTTGTGCGAGTGCACATGGAACACACAGAAGGAGGCTTGGTAGACCCCACAAAGTATATATATTCTTGATCAGCATGACAAGCCGAGTCGATATAGCCATGTCCGTCTGTCCGTCTGTCCGTCTGACCGTCTGTCCGTCTGTCTGTCTGTATGAACGCAAGGATCTCCGAAAGTATAAGAGCTAGAATAACCAAACTTGGTATACAGATTCTCCTGAGACCGAGAAAGGACGAGTTTGTTCATTTTTTCTGATTTATTTAACACAACTAAAATCATATACTTCCACTTATATATACATATAAAACGGTACAACGGAAATACATATGCGGAAATAATGCGCCTGAAGAAGTTGCCGTTCTTCAGGCAGACTCTCAACGATCACTTCTTTTTTTATACAATAATTAGATAGGGCCATGCCAACTTAATTTCACATATTTTCTTAACATATCGATATCGGCCAGGGGTGCACAAATGAACTCAAATGAAAACGTATATTAATAACATTTCACAACAATACCCATGCTGGAAAACTTCAACTGAAAATGTATTGTGTCTCATAAAGAGATCTTAAAACCTAAAAAAGAATGAAACACATTTAATCCAACTCTTAAAATAAAATAGCTAAAGCTCTTAAAGCATATATGTATGTGTATCTTTATGAACTAATAATAGCTCTTTGCATTCCTATTGTAAAGAATTTCTCAAATACTCCAATAAAAGACCGAAGCATAACTCTAGATATAATTAATTATTCCTTTCCTTTCTTAGGAGCAACAAGGCTACGCTTTGCATATGCAGAACTTCGATGCTTTAAATCATTAAGTAATATTTGCTCATGATTATATATACAAGTATTATCCATATTACTATATATCACTTGTCGCCATATTTAAACAAACACCATAACTATTTTCAAAATATAGAGCTGGTCAAAAGTATTTACAAACCGTTAATTTTTTAACATATTTCATTAAAGGAACTTTTTATTGTTGTTGTTGGAAGTTAGTTTGATCGTTGCAGGATCAAATGCAAAACATGCAAATAATAAAATTAATTCAATTTGAATGCATATTTCAATAATTTTCAGTATGTATTTGAATCAGAAAAGTCTTATCCTTAGCACAATTCCAACAAACAAACTTAAATCTTAAACAGCCTTCGTTCCTCCAAGGAGTTTGCTGTGCAAAAGCTACGCCTAACACAAAAACAAATCTAGCAAATCCTTAGTAAATCTAGTCCATATATCCCATAAGTAACTAACTGCTACAATTTACGAGTATGCAGCAAGTTTTTCTGATAAACATTCCGGAGTCTTTTCGCCAGTGCCATTCAAACTGTAACTATGTGCAAAGTGCTACCAAAACTGTTATTGCGTCAGCTCGTGCTTTATGCCCAGTAATGCGGCCTGACATCCATATTTCTGTAGCGTGCACGTATGTGTATGTGTGTGCATACATGTATGTATGTATGCAAGGGCGTACGCAAGGGAGGAGGGGGGGAGAGAACGTTGCCCCCCTACAGAAAATTTTGTCACATAAAGTCATTAGTATCGCCTTAAAATGGAACTGAATTCGATTTGTTGAAGTTTTTTCATTGATTTATGCATATAATTATTTTTTAAATGTATCGTGTATTATTTAATCAAAATTGTAATTTATTGGCCCCCCTCTTTGGTAAAAGCTGCGTACGCCCTTGTATGTATGTATGGTGGAGTGCGTGCCAAATTTGCATTTTGGCAAAAATGTATGACCTTGTCGGGCATTTTAGTTAGCTCGCTGCAGTATTATTTGCGCCCAATAAAATGCAGTTAGTAGCGCCTCCACATGACATTTCAAATGCTGCAGTAAATTTTGACAATATTTCCGTTACCGCACCACCGAGCCACCGCAGAGCAGCAATTCCGCAGCGCCACAACACATCCCACAACAGGCACTCCTCATCATAACTTCGCATCGCACTTTATGTCCTTTTATTTGTTTAGTTGTGCACTTCCACTTCCACAACTCA